GGCCCCCTTCCCTCCCCCCTCCCCTAATTATTCTTCTGTTCACTAATAAATGATAAGCTGTATTAATCAATCACGACTGTAAAACTTCGTGTGGACTGATCCGGGGTGGTTTTTCAGTACCAACCGGAAGTTGGAATTTGTTTTTGATCCTTGGGTGCATGACCTCCAACTTCTCGTACCTGAGCTTTTTCACTTGTATTCTAGTTCTTTATAGAGAACTGGTACCATCGTATTTTCGTAATTAAATAACTCCCCTCTCAAATAAATCCCCTGTCTCTATTAAGCTCCCCCGCCCCCTCAAAAGGGTTTGAAATAAATAAGCCCCCTTGGGGGCTAAATAGAGGATTTACTGTAAGTTAAAACAAACATGGGAAACAGTTTAACACTCTTGTGACCTGAGTATGAGATGTATCAGAGATGGTTCTCATTTGCAAAACCGTGAAGATTTAAAGCAGTGAGGCCAGACTCACTCCCTCTGACTGACCTTTTGATAAGCTGACAGGATTTTCCCTTTGCCCGATCTCCCTGTTTCGTGTAACCCAAGGGACAACTTTTCACACAGGTAGTGCGCAGACCAGGGGCCTTCAGACTTGAGGTTTCTGAATTGCACTTGAGGCAGTCATAGCCATTACTGCACTTTTCACAATTATCCGAACATTCTGTTTGAATAAAAAAAAAAAGACGATAAGGAAAAACGTTTTAAAAAATCCACTACATCTTAACTATCACTAAATGCAAGTTTACGAGAGTCCCTTTATCAGCTAACATCGGCGTTGTATGACATCCAGCCTCCACCACCACCGTCTTCAATTTTTATCACTAAGTAAACTAAATATATAAATGATAATAATAATAATCATCATCATCATCATATTTTTCTCCGACTTATTACAAATGATTACTTATCAGAAGTCGTTTTCTTCAGTAATAGCTATCTGTCTGTTCGTTGTGTTAATGTTGGCAAAATTTGAAGACCCATTTCTATGGTGACGAGAAATGTTAACTGAAGATAATTAGGAAAGGACTACGATTTTTTGGCAATTTATTAGCGAAAATACAGTTTTCAGGTGGGGCAGATGTCCAAATAATGCACAGTTGTGGTGTGTGAGGCAGTAGTTTCCACAGCTGAAAAGGAGGTGCTGATGCCGGTGCCTAGCGGTTTTACTGAAACAAGGTTTGGGTAGGGGTTGCTCATTCCCGCGGGGTCAGAAACGTCCTTTTGAGCTATGGAATCTAGCATTTCCCGTTGTAGTGAGGTAATAACGCAAAGGAGAATGTACTTACTCAGGCAGTAATTTTGTATACCCCTGTAGGTGTAAAATCCTTTGGGGCACTTGCGCTGGCAACGCCGCTTATTGTAGTTGATTCGAAACCATCCCTCTTTGCAAGTCAAACAATATTCACCAGCACAGCCATCTACAGGGACATGAATTAAAAAGAAGTCTTTCCAGAAAATGTAAATGAATGCCAGTCCAGTTGACTTACTTAAGGCCCCATCCACACATTTCTGTCTTTCTTTAACAACAAGCAATTTGTTTCAAATTTGAAAAAGATTGTCGTCCAGACATGGCGTTTGCGAATCGTTTTCCATCGTCCACTTGTATCTGGTGCTAGTTGAAAGTGAAAAATTGACCAAAGACAAGCTAAGTCCTACAAGTATGGCCCAGTGGCGGTGAAATATCAGAATACTGTACGATAGAAGGTACTGTTAAGTATCTGTCTCTACCCTTATGAGGACGGGAATTGGCCTTTTTTCAAAAATGTCCACCCTGGAAGTAATTGACAGGATGCCCTGCGCTGCCGCAACTTCTACGTGGCTACAGCTATATAAACTAGACCTTGAGAATCCATCAAGGCCCCGTTTCCAAGCCATGACATTCTGTTCAGTAAACAAGTGCTAAATAAAAATTAAAGTTATTTAAAACCTTTAATCATTGCTGCATAAATAAATTTAAGGATTGATTACCTTCCGTAATTCGCTGGCACCTTCTCCCCTTTTTCGCAAACCCACGAGGACAAGAGACCACGCAAGTTGAATTGTGGAATGCAGAAATTTTTATCTTAAAATATCTTGGCTTACATCTCCGGCAGTTGATCTTGTCAGGGCATCTAGCACAATTAGCAACATATCTGCATTCTGACCAGAAAGTAATTAATTCAATCGGCTTTTTCATGGCAAATTTGAATGTAGAATGCAATGGGGGCCAGGGGAGGTTGCATAAAGCCTTCTTAAGATAAGAGCTGGGCTCTTAACTTTTGTTCTGAAACAATAATCTAATGTTTTGAACTAATAGTTACGAGTTCCCTTAATCTTAAGATGTTTTATGCAACCCGACCCAGACTACGTATTAAACAAAATTTGTTCCTTAGTCCACTCTGATAGCATTTGCCTATTTAAACACACTTTTACTCTTTTTTCTTTTGTTTGTCCTGTTATGGTTAATTCATCATTTAAAGAGTCTGGTTGAAGCCTGGTTTTCCTGCCAGTACAGAATAACCAGGCTTGCCACGCTTACCAGGAATACCAGGTTTGTTGCACATATGCATATGGTAAAACCCGGTTTAATTTGATAACATTAGTAAGCTTTGGTTGGTCGAACTAGGCTTGTACCATGGTTAGCCTTAGCTTTTGGTGCACGGGAAACTAACGTCAGTGGCTTTATTTTCAGTGGGGTAATATTGCTTAATTGTTGATCGGGAGCTACTCTGTTACGGCCTTCCACGTGAAGTCGGCCAAACCGTTATCAAGGAACAATACTAATAATTAACAATACTTTATTTAAAGTGGAACATATGCTTAGCTATATGGATTAGTTTAAATGAAAACTTCATAAGCTAATTTACATACAAGTATGCCACGGCATACTAAAATAAATAGAATAAGAGATAAAAATAAATAAGACAATATTAAGGTTATTAACAAAATTAAGTTTTTACACGTAAAATACTATCAAACTTATTTATTTTGACTCACTGACACACATAACAGGAACTCAAATCTGTTACTAAAACAGTGTACAGAACGACTTACCTGCAAGTGGCTTTTTGCAGTATTTGCCAAAGTAGCTTGAATTAAAGGGCACAAGTCCTTTTGGACATTTCCGAACACAAACCATGCCAGATTTGTTAAAGAAAGCGTGAAAAGCGTTCCTACATTTCCGACAACGGAGGCTATCGAGACACTTGGCACAATTAGGCACGATGGGTTTACACTCTGAAAATGAAGGATGCGGTTTTAAGCTCCTTGATTACATCATTGTAAAAAAACTGTTTAGTACTATTGCTTCTAAGAGCTTAGAAATTGCGCTGTAATTAGATCGCGCAAAATCTGTCAGTTCTCACAAGACAATGCTGAAAAACACCTGCGATTTCCACTCTTCCTTATAATAACCTTTTGAAGTCTTGAGACTTCATAATTTAGCGAGCATTTGATTGATCGTTTGTGTTCCGGAGGGGTTACTTGAGTCAAGTTTGGGTAAAGGGGTGAACCATTTTTAGGTAAAAAGAACATCTAAAAAAACCTTGCCATATAAAGGACAACAATCACTGTTTAAGAGCACAGTTAAGAACATCGAACAAAACAATGCTCTGAGTTTCTACAATTAGAACCTGTTTAGAATTAGCTCGCAAATGGTATGCCGTATTCAGCCCAGAGAGATCGGCAATCAATCACGATATCCTGTACCGGTATAGACAACTGTATAGGGTCAAACATTATGTGCTTCTGCCTTTCCAGCCGGGTCTGTGTCCCATGTTGCGGTTCTAGTCATTCAGAGATAGCTAACATGCAACTGAATGCTATAATTAAATAGTTATCGATCCTTTACACAACGCGAAATAAAGGAATTACATACTTGATTGTGTATCTTTGCATAGCTTCTTTCCGTCACTGTCCATGGAGGGTGTGAAACCAATTGGGCAGTTTTTCACACATCTCACGTTTCCCATAATCTTTTTCTGAAGTGAGTAATATCCTTGAGTGCAATTCGCGCAGCTTACAGGACTGTGCTGGTGGCAGTCATCGCAGTTTCGTGCAGTACAACCTTGAAAACAAATCGAACAAATTTACAGCAACATAAAACGCTGCTTATCCATTCACCCCTCGCGAATGAATGAACGAATTTCTGTAAGTATATGATGATTGACAATCAAAGATTCGTACAGTTAGTATAGAATAAACCACTTAGGGCGACTGGAAGGAAGGAAGCTAATTCCACTAGGTTTTAGGGCTTTCAAAATGCTTCGTAAGCTGCGAACACAGCCCCTCTCTGCTCTCATCGCTCCCCACCGCTGTGACATTTAGAAACGTCCTCCACGAAGAGAAAAGAGAGAGGCGGCTGAATTCGCAGGCTAAGTGATTTGCGCTGAATTATTCCGATCCGTTTTTACTTATATAGAAACATTTCCCAGTTAACTTACAGAAAGGTCAATAAGTCAACGGAGTTTTAGCTCTGAAGGACTTGGGTTATTGGTGTCTCTTACTCTATTAATCCCCCAACAGCCGAGAACGTGAACGCAAAATTGTCACCGAGCTGGATGGCTCAGTTTGAGGACAAAGCTACAATTGTAGCGAAAGGCGCTATAAAAGTCCAGGTTCTAGCAGGCCATATGGGGGTTTATTATATCTTAAACCTCCGGGTAACCTTCCAGAAGACTACATGAAAGGAGGTCGATTATCTTTAAGCTGCTCTTTTGCAAAAGCCGACAATGTTATGTCTCAGCCTCAGAATTAAGAAGTGAAACAAGGATACGCCCAGGAAAATAAGCACTTGCCATTCGAATTTGGTTTGGTTCGCTTCTCCAAAATCTGCGTGCGTAGAGCAATCTTGTTTAATCGACCTGAAGTGAGAAGAGGCGTGGTATAAATGGGTTAGTTCTGTGTATTTTTTTTGATAGGTGTAAAATCCTTTGGGGCACTTGCGCTGGCAACGCCGCTTATTGTAGTTGATTCGAAACCATCCCTCTTTGCAAGTCAAACAATATTCACCAGCACAGCCATCTACAGGGACATGAATTAAAAAGAAGTCTTTCCAGAAAATGTAAATGAATGCCAGTCCAGTTGACTTACTTAAGGCCCCATCCACACATTTCTGTCTTTCTTTAACAACAAGCAATTTGTTTCAAATTTGAAAAAGATTGTCGTCCAGACATGGCGTTTGCGAATCGTTTTCCATCGTCCACTTGTATCTGGTGCTAGTTGAAAGTGAAAAATTGACCAAAGACAAGCTAAGTCCTACAAGTATGGCCCAGTGGCGGTGAAATATCAGAATACTGTACGATAGAAGGTACTGTTAAGTATCTGTCTCTACCCTTATGAGGACGGGAATTGGCCTTTTTTCAAAAATGTCCACCCTGGAAGTAATTGACAGGATGCCCTGCGCTGCCGCAACTTCTACGTGGCTACAGCTATATAAACTAGACCTTGAGAATCCATCAAGGCCCCGTTTCCAAGCCATGACATTCTGTTCAGTAAACAAGTGCTAAATAAAAATTAAAGTTATTTAAAACCTTTAATCATTGCTGCATAAATAAATTTAAGGATTGATTACCTTCCGTAATTCGCTGGCACCTTCTCCCCTTTTTCGCAAACCCACGAGGACAAGAGACCACGCAAGTTGAATTGTGGAATGCAGAAATTTTTATCTTAAAATATCTTGGCTTACATCTCCGGCAGTTGATCTTGTCAGGGCATCTAGCACAGTTAGCAACATATCTGCATTCTGACCAGAAAGTAATTAATTCAATCGGCTTTTTCATGGCAAATTTGAATGTAGAATGCAATGGGGGCCAAGGGAGGTTGCATAAAGCCTTCTTAAGATAAGAGCTGGGCTCTTAACTTTTGTTCTGAAACAATAATCTAATGTTTTGAACTAATAGTTACGAGTTCCCTTAATCTTAAGATGTTTTATGCAACCCGACCCAGACTACGTATTAAACAAAATTTGTTCCTTAGTCCACTCTGATAGCATTTGCCTATTTAAACACACTTTTACTCTTTTTTCTTTTGTTTGTCCTGTTATGGTTAATTCATCATTTAAAGAGTCTGGTTGAAGCCTGGTTTTCCTGCCAGTACAGAATAACCAGGCTTGCCACGCTTACCAGGAATACCAGGTTTGTTGCACATATGCATATGGTAAAGCCCGGTTTAATTTGATAACATTAGCAAGCTTTGGTTGGTCGAACTAGGCTTGCACCATGGTTAGCCTTGGCTTTTGGTGCACGGGAAACTAACGTCAGTGGCTTTATTTTCAGTGGGGTAATATTGCTTAATTGTTGATCGGGAGCTACTCTGTTACGGCCTTCCACGTGAAGTCGGCCAAACCGTTATCAAGGAACAATACTAATAATTAACAATACTTTATTTAAAGTGGAACATATGCTTAGCTATATGGATTAGTTTAAATGAAAACTTCATCAGCTAATTTACATACAAGTATGCCACGGCATACTAAAATAAATAGAATAAGAGATAAAAATAAATAAGACAATATTAAGGTTATTAACAAAATTAAGTTTTTACACGTAAAATACTATCAAACTTATTTATTTTGACTCACTGACACACATAACAGGAACTCCAATCTGTTACTAAAATAGTGTACAGAACGACTTACCTGCAAGTGGCTTTTTGCAGTATTTGCCAAAGTAGCTTGAATTAAAGGGCACAAGTCCTTTTGGACATTTCCGAACACAAACCATGCCAGATTTGTTAAAGAAAGCGTGAAAAGCGTTCCTACATTTCCGACAACGGAGGCTATCGAGACACTTGGCACAATTAGGCACGATGGGTTTACACTCTGAAAATAAAGGATGCGATTTTAAACACCCTCATTATATCATTTTATAGAAACTGTTTAGTACTATTGCTTCTAAGAGCTTGCAAATTGCGTCGTAATTAAATCGTGCAAAATCTGTCATTTCTCACTAGACAATACTGAAAAATACTGTCTTGCGATTTCCATTTTTCTTAACCTTTTGAAATCTTGAGGCCTTCACAATTTAGCCAGCATTTGATTGATCGTTTGTGTTCCGGAGGGGTTACTTGAGTCAAGTTTGGGTAAAGGGGTGAACCATTTTTAGGTAAAAAGAACATCTAAAAAAACCTTGCCATATAAAGGACAACAATTAAGAGCACAGTTAAGAACATCGAACAAAACAATGCTCTGAGTTTCTACAATTAGAACCTGTTTAGAATTAGCTCGCAAATGGTATGCCGTATTCAACCCAGAGAGATCGGCAATCAATCGCGATATCCTGTACCGGTATAGACAACTATATAGGCCGTCAAACATTATGTGCTTCTGCCTTTCCAGCCGGGTCTGTGTCCCATGTTGCGGTTCTAGTCATTCAGAGATAGCTAACATGCAACTGAATGCTATAATTAAATAGTTATCGATCCTTTACACAACGCGAAATAAAGGAATTACATACTTGATTGTGTATCTTTGCATAGCTTCTTTCCGTCACTGTCCATGGAGGGTGTGAAACCAATTGGGCAGTTTTTCACACATCTCACGTTTCCCATAATCTTTTTCTGAAGTGAGTAATATCCTTGAGTGCAATTCGCGCAGCTTACAGGACTGTGCTGGTGGCAGTCATCGCAGTTTCGTGCAGTACAACCTTGAAAACAAATCGAACAAATTTACAGCAACATAAAACGCTGCTTATCCATTCACCCCTCGCGAATGAATGAACGAATTTCTGTAAGTATATGATGATTGACAATCAAAGATTCGTACAGTTAGTATAGAATAAACCACTTAGGGCGACTGGAAGGAAGGAAGCTAATTCCACTAGGTTTTAGGGCTTTCAAAATGCTTCGTAAGCTGCGAACACAGCCCCTCTCTGCTCTCATCGCTCCCCACCGCTGTGACATTTAGAAACGTCCTCCACGAAGAGAAAAGAGAGAGGCGGCTGAATTCGCAGGCTAAGTGATTTGCGCTGAATTATTCCGATCCGTTTTTACTTATATAGAAACATTTCCCAGTTAACTTACAGAAAGGTCAATAAGTCAACGGAGTTTTAGCTCTGAAGGACTTGGGTTATTGGTGTCTCTTACTCTATTAATCCCCAAACAGCCGAGAACGTGAACGCAAAATTGTCACCGAGCTGGATGGCTCAGTTTGAGGACAAAGCTACAATTGTAGCGAAAGGCGCTATAAAAGTCCAGGTTCTAGCAGGCCATATGGGGGTTTATTATATCTTAAACCTCCGGGTAACCTTCCAGAAGACTACATGAAAGGAGGTCGATTATCTTTAAGCTGCTCTTTTGCAAAAGCCGACAATGTTATGTCTCAGCCTCAGAATTAAGAAGTGAAACAAGGATACGCCCAGGAAAATAAGCACTTGCCATTCGAATTTGGTTTGGTTCGCTTCTCCAAAATCTGCGTGCGTAGAGCAATCTTGTTTAATCGACCTGAAGTGAGAAGAGGCGTGGTATAAATGGGTTAGTTCTGTGTATTTTTTTTGACTTCTGGTACGTGATTAAACCACGTTATTTCATGAATGCAAGCGATCCAAGAATCAGACTAGCCCGAATGGGCTATTGACTCAGAGGCCATGAGGGAGAGAGGAATAATTGTTTTTAGTAAAATCCAACTAGTTGGTCAAAAATATCGAGACAAAACAACTTAAAGTAAGACTTTAATCCTTTTTAGCCGCCAAAAATCCGGCGCTTTTTGCTACTAGTGGGCTATAACATTATAGCCCAGTAGTAGCTCAACCAATCAGAACGCAGCATTGATAATAGACCACTAGTTGGATTTTACTTTTACTTCACTTTGCTTCACTTTGCTTCACTTTACTTCACTTTACTTCACTTTGCTGGGCGGACAATCTTATGCCTTAGAAAACAGTAGGATTCAAGGTTGAAATGTTCGCTCATTAATTCATTGTAATTCATTCATTCATTCATTCAAACACTTTTGACCAGTTCTATGTACCTTCAATAACTTAAATTTCTCATTATAATAACTTGTTGATCATTCCCTATATTCCCTCTTCACTAAGTGAGAAGTAAGTATAACGTAAATTTCTCATTATAATTATTTGTTGATCATTCCCCATATTCTCTCTTCACTAAGTGAGAAGTAAGTGTTAATGTTAGCTTAGTGGAGGGGTAGGTGGGCAGTTTCCCAGAAACCTACATTGATCGCCCTCTTCAATAGTCCACAATTGCAACATGACTCCGGGGCTTTCTGGTCATTTTTTTTTGTTTGGTTTGGTTGTCTTTGTGTTGAAGTCTCATCTGGGAATTGCGAGACAATATAGAGTCCAATGTGAAAACTTTGCAGTTGGTACCCTAAAGTCTCGGAGTCATGTTAGAATTTTAATATAAATTATCGAACGTGGGCTACTGGAAACTAGATGCGTTTTTAGCCCTTTCAAAAGGATTGATTACATGGTAAAACGTTATTTCTGTGCATGGTTTATCTATTTATTTAATACAACCAACAGTCCTTCTATGGAGTTTAGCGTTTGAACTCTACTACACGTATCCAGTGGCCTAAAGTACAACCCGGATGTTTTTTACATCGAGTGTGTATTATCAGGGCATCAAAGGTCCTCCCTTTCAGCTTGTATTTTTTACAGGTTTTCCCATTTCAGACCATGTAGCCTTCTCAGGCTTCTCAGGGCAATAATTCTTTGACTTTTTGTAATGTACGCATTTATATACGCGTAAGCCGGCATCAGTTGGTCTAAAATCTCAGGGGAAACACGTCAGTCGAGAGTATCTCTATAGACGCTACAAAGATCGCATGCTTGCTGTATAACATACCAAGCTCTGTCCTGATACATATCCTGGAATATCCCTGTCTTGAGGTGATGTTGAAGCCCACCGGGCACGATCGCGTACATCGGATGATTATCTTTCTATTTCTTTCGTACTCTACAGGTATGAAGGATTGTTTGCAGGTCTTACACAGTAGACCATCAGTACATTCATCACAGCCGGGAATCAAACCACACCCTGAGTCTAAAAAGGAAATTTTGTGAGCTAAACCTCTCATACTTAATCAATGCTTTTAAGCTTAAAACCGATTCAAAATCATCCATTATATATATTTGAAAACCTCATTATTTTCAAGTGAGTGCTATGCTGAACAAACTAAAGCATCATGACTACAGTGAACTTATATTAGGTGCTAAGTGACTAAGAATAGCCAACTGACGCGCTTTATAGTTGAATCAGTTTAATAATTGAAGTTTAGATCAGTAACTGAGATTAAAATTGAAGGTTAGATCAGCAACTGAAATTAAGTGAATTAAACAAAGATGATATTGGCAAATAGAAGTTACTGTAAAAGTGCTTAGACTTTTCTATCCTTCCTTGTGCCAAAAAAAAAAGCAAATTCAAACCATTATTATAATAGGCAGGACCACTCTCGATCGAGTCGCCCTAAGCCTCTGTTTCAAAGTGAAGTTAAGTGCCACCCTATTGATATGGAAATGAATTTTTTTCCATTACTCTCATGCAATTAAATCTCATTTTCACGAGAAAGGTTTTGCATTTTGCCTCTTTTTGAAAGTGACAGATTTTGGATCTCCGAAATGGCCTATTACGAGTCAGACACAAAATGTGTCATATTAAAATATGAAAAAGTTGACCAACGGTTGTGGTCTGGAGAAAAAGTAAAGGGAACCCGAAGCTCTGTACCTGTTAGAAATCCAGAATTTCAAATATAGGATTTCTATTAAAAATATAGCCCAGGTAGCGTCAGCCACAAGTTGCTCGGCAACTTTTTAGCAACTTTTACTACTTGGAGAAACTTTCTGGCAACTTTTTAAAGCGTTTTTATGTACAACCCTATCAGAATACTGAGGAGAATGCACCGTCTTGCAAATGATCAAAAAGAGTTTTCGTCGCACCAAGTTCTGTTTGCAAAAATGACACTGACTGATTTAGGGTCTATTTAAACAATAGTGAAATCAATATAAAGTTTTTCTATAATATCAAAAGAAAGATTATAAGAAAGACATTGTTAAATTGAAGGGAAAATTTAAAATTGTTTAAAATTGCCTCAGCTAAGATTTGTCTGTTTAAAAGTTATAGTACTCTGACTTTTTAGGAAAACAAATGACATTACAAAGTTGTTTTAAAATGTCACGCTCCGTAAATGCGTTTAATTCAGTAAAAAAAGGGGGGGAAGGCAAAAATGGCTTTCATTTCATTTTACTTGACAGTGCCACTACTCGAATCCGGGCAGTTGGAAGACGATTATCCAATCACAACGGTTTTTGAAAACAAAAGATTCTCAAGTTTTTTTTCCCAAACGGACCAATAACATTCATGAATTTGAGTGTTTCCCGAGATTTCAAAGGTTGCATAGTTGAACCTTAAATTTTATTGGTCCGTTTGCAAACAAAATTGAAAACCTTTTGTTTTCAAAAAAGTTGTGAGTGCCCCGGTTCAAGTTGTCGCACTGTAACAAGCAACTTCTGAGCAACTTTTTACCTGGGCCTAGCCGAAGGCTGGCACCGGTCATAAAATGCAACGTGTTTCTGTCTTTTCAAAGTTACATTGTTAGGGATATATCGCTGACTGAGATATATCCCTGGCTCGTTACTTTTGGGAGTGTTCGCTGAGATATATCGCTGGTTCATTATATTGAAATCTTATCCCCCATTTTGAAAAGCACGGGGTATGGAGGAGAGTCAAGAGAAAGATTATAGCTTTTTGGGAACGACACGTTCCCCAACCTTTACGATGTACTAGTTTATGAGCGAAAACTTGAGAGTGAATATTTGGAGAGACAAATTTACGAGCGATCGCTTAAGAGTGAACCTTCCATCGTGAAACTTATCGAGAAAATAAGCGACTTATAAATCAAAGTTCTCGACATTGAGTGAACCTCCCATCATGAAATTTATCGAGAATCAATGCGGACACTTATCAAAGCTAACTTTATATCATCTTAAAAAACGTGCTACAAGGCGATCTAGACGTGCTCTTGAACCGAGCAGAATTCCACTGCTATTTCTAAGCGGTCTGGCCCCGGTAAATCTTGTTAGAAAGAAAAGTCCAGCAACTTCAGGAAACTTAATTTCGCCATGTTTTATGATTTAAATTATTGCTTCAGCTTAACCACAGAATGTTTTCACATGACGTCATGGCGGCCATGCATATTGGTGTCGCAAACCAATCCTGACATGGCGACAAATCCGTCTTGGTGTCCCAAATAAAGAATTCGAAAGAGCAGCCATGTTGGTGTCCAAAACCAGTCCTGTGAGAATTGAAGAGCGCATTTTTCTTTTGTAAAACTATTGTTTGTTCCAATAAGTTATGCATGCAAGTTGTAGCTGTTGGTGACGTAAATGAAAACGCTGTGATAGACTTTGTGCTTAACATTACAGTGGGTACATTAAGGAAATCCAGTTGTTGTTATTGTTATTTTTGTTGTTTATGTTTGTTGCTTTTGCCTTTTTTAATGACCCTGAAATAGAGGTGAAGACTGGAAGCAGACTCGTTGCCGGGGCCCCTTTGCGCGAACTGACTGCTTAGTCCTGCTTAATACAGTGCGACCGCTTAGAGTTCACTTAGATGTAGGTTTGACAGACGTTCATAAAGCGGTGCAAATCTTAAGTGGCCTCATCTTGAGCTGAACTATGATGCTCAATGATGATGGATTACCTGTGACAAACCAAGCTAATGGCTTACAAATTTCCTCTTAATTTGTTGAAACGTTTGTGTCATCCACTTGCTGATACAGGATATTTGTTAGGCCTAAAAAAAACCGGTATGGCTGAACAATGACTAAAAAAAAGACTCGTTTAAATAACTTCGTGATCTTAGGCGATTCATGTGACAAAATGATTGATCACTTCAGGTAGACTTTCTAATGCCTCCAAAGGGCTGTGAGAAGAAACTTTATCTTTACTAAGCGAGGAGGAAAGCTTTTGCTTAGTGGTGGGAATATTTTGGTGAATGCATAGACTAAAGGTTACTAAAAAGCGGAATTGAATGCTACTAAAAAGGAATCTTGACCCAAAAGCGTGTCATTTAATTTTCCTGAAAAGAACTATTTCACAATTTTACTTTTAATATCCATTCAAGGCGAACTTGCGGAAAAACAAAATGGGGAGGAATTCTAGTAAAGACAGTAAAAAAAAGTTTCTGAACAAAACAAACATATCAATAAACCTAATGCAATTACTAAGACAGAGAATTCGTTAACTACTTAATGATAGTTGTTTACATAGTCAACAACTTTTGTTGACAACGAATTTCCCCAGAACAATGAAAACAAATCTCTCATCTACAATTGACAAGGAATTAGACTAAAGAACTACTATACAAAACAAACATTTTGACAAAGATTTTCGACAATTTTCGACAAGGATCTTCGATTGATCTGGGATAAGAAAATGCATTCCAAAACTACCTGAAATTTATGTCAATATTTTTGTTTGGTTAGCTCGGTTTTGTAATTCCTATCGGGAAACTCCACTTAACTACAGTGGAGTGTAGCACGTAGTAGGAAGAAAACTGACATGGACGTGACTGGATAGTAAGTCTGTGGAATTTTGGCAGGGAAAAATTCGATTTTGTAGATGCGGCGCATATAAGGACATTTTATTTTTATCTTTGTCGGATTTAGGCCGTTTCTTAGAGCTGACAAACTTGGATTCAATGCCTTAAAACGATCGGCCATTCATAATCCTTCAGAAACCGATTCATGATACTTTAACGGAAATAGATGGACTATTCGGTATCTTTCTATGGTCTGATCGGCTTGTAAAGTGGCTTGAAGAATATCAGAACAGCTAACAATTCTCATACACAAATGATAACAAAAACTGTTTGAAATAAAGCAAAGATGAGGTTATTTGAATCATTCACAAGTAGTAGAGCTAATAGGTATGAGATTGATCTTTGACGTCGGTGATTATAATTGGTCACAAAATTCTTTCTTCAATAATTTCACATGTACACTCTAATCATTCTTCAAAACAATGCGCCTTTCTTTAATTCACCGTTGTCCACAAATATAATTTTATAATACGAATCTAAGTAACTAAACAAACAAGGAAATCACCAGGACTATTTACAGTGATAAATTGATACCTGGCGCATCATGACTTAAAAGCTGATTTCCTTCTAGCTTATCATATAAAATAAAACAAATCGGATTTTATTAATTATAAAGAGTTTATGAGAAAAAGGTTCTGGACTCTTCTCATTTTGTCATTTTTGTGACATTAATAAAAAAACGATAATATGAAATAATATTTCATATTATCAAACTCCCTTGACCTGCGCAAAGGAGAATCGATCGCATCTTCTGCAGTTCTTTAATATAAGACAAGACATTCAAAGTTCCACGTCTCAAAACTATTTGGGTTTGAAATAAGGCAATCGTCAACTGAATAATAATTCTTAACCTGTCAGATCATTTAGTTAAAAAATAGTAGCCCTTGGGTCGTAAAGCATCTTTTATTGAATCATTTTTTTTAACGGTTGCACAACGAAAATGTTCTAAACATTTGACCTAAGAACAGAAATTAGCACTCCAATGAAAAGGATGACAAAAACTGAACAAGTTTATCTTGGAAAGTAAAACATAAAGAGAAACTGAGCTTCCACTACAACCTGAAGCACTGGGTAATCGCTTTCATTTGAAAGGTATTCACTTTGACTTAGCTAGCATTTTGTTAAAAGAGAACGCTTCACGATAATGAATTGTATGTACAGAGGAACCTCGATATTGGAACCTCTCTTTAAAGACGTCTTCATTATAACGAACGATAATCTTTACCCAAGAAATAGTAAAATATATGAAAAAAAAAAAACTCGATATAACGAACGTCTGTAAAGCGAAGTCCTCACTATAACGACAGATATTCTTCACCCCAGAAATTAGTAAAATATTTCAGGAAAAAGAACTTCGATATAACGAAACCTTGTTAAGGCAAAGGTATTTTGCCAAGCCTCCGTTATCTGATAAAGACTTTACTCAGTGTACTACAGCCTACAAGTGAATACAGAAATACGAAGTATTAGCAGAGTACATGAGTTAACTTACCGTCCCAAAGCCATCTTTTTGCTCGATGCCGTTGCATGTCATCCTTTTTCGATGGAACGTCTTCATCGCCCATTACCGCAAGGGCGTGTTGAAGGAGCAATAATTTAGCCACCACAAACAGTAGAACGATCTGAAACTGCAGCATGGCCTTATGTAACAGCTATGCGCTTATTAACTTGATTAATTTTTCAACCTTTGGCCTTGAAAAATATGGAGAACAAGCAGATATGAACGACTCTCTTTGCGTTTAGTAATTGCGTCCGAAGTATGTCACAGTGCAATTTCTTTGACAAGGTTATCTTAAATACGTCTGGTAAGTATTACGTTGAAAGCGGCGGGGCCGAATTCTTGATAAGCTTTACAAAGCTTCTTTAATGACTTTATGAACAGATATGCTCCTTATTAAGAAAAGGAACCGTACAAAAATAAAACTTTCAAACATGAAAAGCCAGAGTCTGGACTTTAAAAAAGCACGATCTAGATTTTTTTTTTTTTAATGGACTCATGTCTCCTATACTTGAAAGTATGGAAACAATAGAAAATAGAAAGTATGAAATAGCTGTAGAGTAAAAGTTGTGATAAAATCTAATTTAAATAAACAAATCTGATCAGTCTAAAAAATGAACTAAATGGTGCTTTATCTTGATACAAACTAACACAAGCAATTATCAATCTGGAACGTAAAGAAAATTTTGAAGTAAAGTATCTGCAGGTGCGGGCACCACCCCCATACAAAAAATAAATCTCTAATCTGACAATCAAATTAGAGAGCAAAATAGATCAAATAAAACCGGTTAAAAAAGGTTATAGGTCGGTCTCAACACTTTAAACTTTGAAATTGTGGCTCTGTAACACTTTATTTAGGATGAAAATTTAGCGACTAAACAGGCACTATGGAAGATTTTATAACCAACTAAAAAGTGAAAAAAAAGCACTAACCACGGCAGTTAAACCCATCCGAACTTTAATACATGTACTGAATTACATGGACAGAATTTATCAGCAAGTGGGGCACCTTTGCAAAAATAGATTACAATTCTAGTTCGAATATTTTTCTTCGCCTTTATTCAACGACAGCATCAAGTTGCCATTGTCCATTTCGAACTTGTTTCTCCGGACGACCTTATCAGTCTTTCAAATATGATTATGATACACTGAGAATTTAAGCTAATTGAGTCAAAACTGTGTCAGACAAGGCCACGTTGCCGAAAGTAATATACGAAGATCTACGGGATTTATGGGGCATGTTATAAAGTGTAGATATCCAAGACACTCTATATAGGCTCGATTAAGGATAATAGGCTTTTAACTTAGCGGTGTCTGCGTTACAATAAGAGGTTCATAAATTCGTGAAATTATACCAGGACTTAAGAGGTTCCGAAATTCGATCAACCGCACTTAATCCGAATACGATTAATTGGATAATACACTTCCATTTGTCCACAGGGGCAACGGATTCGCCCACTAATCAGTCTTTAAAAAGCTTATGCCCCCTCTTATCTGTCTTCTTCCCGGAGAGCTATAAAAAAAGTATGTACTTGATTTTATTGAATTGTATTATCTAATTCATGATTAATATATTAAAATTTTACCAGTTTAGTATCAAAACTTCCCGGCCGGATCAGACAATTGTAAATGGTTAATGCACGGCAGTGATGGGTTTAGAGAAAACTCTTGAATAAAAGCCTAATCCTTTTTTCAAATATAGCGACCTAAGTGAAGTTCCGGGATTTTTTTTAATTAACTTTTGCAATGAACACTGATGAATAGCGTGTGATCATTTTCCTATTTGAAGGTAATCGAGTCCAGTATATTTTTTTATCGCAGCGAATGCTCTGTCTCTTCCCCAGGCGACACGATGGCCCTTTCTTGCTCTTACAGAACACACGTGTTCTCTTGGGAATGATCGACTACTCTAGCTGCATTCTTCCCATAATGCCCTGTGGTTTCGGGAAACTAGATTTCTCTTCAAGTATATCATTTACCAGTATTTCAGGTAGATACATGATCAATAGAATGAAAAAAAAAATGATACTAATTGAATTCAGTATTAGGTCACAACTTAAAGATGTTTGTTTTTCACTCATTTGATCCCGAAATCAGAATTCTTCAAAGATCGTGTATAAACATTACATGGACAGATAACCAATGAATAATTTTAAAACCAAATTGAACGTAATCATTAAAAGCTTTTTAAAAAGGGATAGCGTGAGATGAGAGGGTTATAATACGAGACTGTAGGCTGTTAATATGGTTTGATTTTATTATTATTTTTTATTATTTTACTTTTTGACGAAGAGTAAAATAATACAAGGTATAATACAAGGTCTTTTTTAGCACGCCATACACATTTTGGCGCTTTAAAGCATGCGTATTACTAAACATTTCATGGTTGAGCTCATAGACTAATAAAAATAACTACATATAGAGAAATAAATATGATGCAAATAAACATAGGTACGTACTAAATATATAATTATGATATTACAACAGAACAGAAACCTCAACGAAGCATCAAGTCCCTGATGAGTTTTGTATTAGGGCATCAGTATGAATGATATTTTTATTAGGCAGCAAAGCAGTGACCGATGATCCAGCTGATTTTTTCGTTAGGTGTTGACAAGCACCTCGAAAAAGATAAAAGCACGAGGCCATAGGCCACTTTTTTTCGTCCGTTTCTCGGTGTGCTTGGAACCCGTGATGAAGCACTCGCCCTCGTTTTTGACATATTACACCAAGTGCGAGACAGTGTTTCGTCACACCATTGAGCACCCGACAGTGAGATGAGCCGATTTCGACGAACGTTAAGGTGTTTGATAATGTGTTGAAATACTGTGTCTAATGTTTGATATCTTTTCTCACAAAAACGTTATTTTAGAGGCAGATGTTAAGGATGCAAAAATGGGGAGTTTTTCATCTGATTTCCAGAACACTCATTTTAAAAACATTCATTTCATTAGTATTTTCTTCATGAATTTTTCATGAACTTGAGATAGGTTAACTCTAAAAGACCATATTAGACAAAGTGATGTGTAACTCAAGTTTGGTTTACACTTGGTGCTCGAGGTGCACAGTTCCGGAGTTCGGTACTCGCTGGGACTTAATGTGAACACACCCCTTTTTCACGTACGCCAGTATGTCAGGCGCTTTTCTATGTCCGAGAACAAGGTCAAAACCTTCTTGTACTCGGGCACTTAGTTGCGCACGAGGCCCCAGTTTGCACTGCACGTGTTGTGTTAGTTGCGAGGCAAACCACTGCATACCCATCACTTTCTACTTACTACTTTCATTTTAAAATGAGGTGTGGCAGGAGGAAATGGAGAAATTATGTACACAGTTACCTATCCGGCGGACGGCGCACGGCGCACGTTCCTAACCAATGTATGCTTGTTCTCTCTCAAAGAAAGTGAGTGCATTTTTGAGGACGCCTCGATACATGGCTTACTACTAGGTTATACCCAAGAAGTCTAGAATACCTTGCTTTTTTTGGTCTAGCTTGTTGATTAGTTGTTTTTAAGAGTTTTTAAGCCTAAAATAGAGCTCTTTGGATTGTTGGTGTTCCCCTTCCGTTTTACCATAATAGTAAAAGGGTAAAGGCTTTGACTTTTGCCTTCTATATAACTCACACTACACTTTGGACGGCTCTCTGAAAAGAGAGATAAACAAAGCTTTTTTATATAATTATGACTTTTTGGCAAATGATTAGAGGTGAAATTCTACCTATAAATAAAAAAGGAAACTGTATTAAAACTTAAAATACTTAAAATTAGACATAATTAAGCGCGGTGCCCCTAAATCCGAAAGCCATGGATGGTCAAGCAAGCTCATAGTATAAAGCAGCCTTGGTAGCAACGTCGCACGACGTCAATATGGAAATATATGGAAATTCTGCGAATTGATGGCCAGGGATTAAACTGTTTGCAAAACGAGATAAATCTCACGAGGTCAGTTTGTTAAGGTATGTTTAAAAAAAACTGGGAAATGTAGTAGCGATGATGACAAAAAAATAGATTACTTTTAGTGATCGTGGAATTGAATGTAGCTACAATAATGGTTAGTTGAGTAAAGGGTATTTTCAATAATAATGCCGCTGTTGATAATGATTATGACGATGATGGTGGTCGTGGTCGTGGTGGTGGTCACAGACGAAAGGCAAAAGAAGGTACGGGTAAGGATGGACAAAATTGAAGAGGATTAAAAAGAAATGCAATTAGAGTTTTTGAAAACTGTTAAACGTAATAGGATTTTGCAACTGAATTTTATCCAAGCCTCGGGATTTACAATTTTGCTAATTACAAGAAATTTGGCCTCGCGCATATTAAGTTCCATAGAGAGTAACGAGGAGTAATTGGAAAGGCTATACAAAAAGAACTGGGCTCACAAGATACAGCCCCTTTCAAGATTGCGATAAGTTTGGAAATGGTGTAATTAGGTAGTAGTTATGGTGACTGTGATGGTGAAGGTTTCGTATGGATAATAGCCACGCGTTTATAGACAACAATTTCTCCCCCTTTCAATCGTTTTTTCCTCATAAACCCTATATTAGAGGGGGCCGAGAGAGTTAAGCTCTAAAATTTGTTCGCAGAATTCCCATACAAACCATGACGCTTAAGCATTTAGTAATTGCACAAGCAAGAGGGCTTGGTACGCCTGTATTCAGAGAAAAATCCCTATTAATTGAAAACATGGCCTCAAAACTCCTCCTCTTCACCATTCTCCTCTCCTTCGGCGGAATCCACGCCAACCTCCTCATAATCCTTTTCCAGGGCAGCTAAGTCTTCGCGTGCCTCGAAGAATTCTCCTTCCTCCATTCCCTCACCAACATACCAGTGTACAAATGCACGTTTCGCGTACATCAAGTCAAACTTGTGATCAAGACGAGCCCAGGCCTCTGCGATCGCAGTAGTGTTGCTCAACATGCAAACTGCGCGCTGTACTTTCGCCAGATCGCCACCTGGTACGACAGTGGGAGGCTGGTAATTTATTCCAACCTAGAAAGAAAAGTATGTACAATTAAAAATTATGGCTTTAACAAAACTGCAAGAATTTCCAAGACATTCAGAAATCAGAGCCTGCGTAACCCGGCTGTCAACCACTAAGGCAATACACAGTGATAATATTTAAAACTACAAAAGGGTAATTTCATCCTTACACTCTCTAACTTTTTCAAGTGTTTAAGTGTGGATCTAACTTTTGCTGCTTGCTGTTTTTGAAGTCTGAGACTCAGTTTTATCTAAAGAGTGGTTAGAAGTTCATTTCACTGACCAAATTAGAGGTCCTTTTAGAGCTCCTCTCTTAAAAGAGAGGAACTGCAAGTCACAAGAAGGGCTGACCGTTTACTTAAATTTACTTTTAAGCACGAAATTCACCATGAACAGTTTCGAAACAACTAAGTGGCAACAAACACTGTATAAAGATATCGCTTATTTATTTCCATCTTTTATGGGAATTCTCTTTTCAAACGCCTCTATAGGGGTTTCACTGAAGATACGGCTATATTTTGTGGTGGCTCCTAACACATTAGAAGTACTAAGNTATTTAGGATGAAAATTTAGCGACTAAACAGGCACTACGGAAGATTTTATAACCAACTAAAAAGTGAAAAAAAGCACAAACCACGGCAGTTAAACCCATCCGAACTTTAATACATGTACTGAATTACATGGACAGAATTTATCAGCAAGTGGGGCACCTAGGCAAAAATAGATTACAATTCTAGTTCGAATATTTTTCTTCGCTTTTATCCAACGATAGCATCAAGTTGCCATTGTCCATTTCGAACTTGTTTCTCCGGACGACCTTATCAGTAATTTCAAATATGATTATGATACACTGAGAATTTAAGCTAATTGAGTCAGAACTGTGTCAGACAAGGCCACGTTGCCGAAAGTAATATACGAACATCTACGGGATTTATGGGGCATGTTATAAAGTGTAGATATCCAAGACACTCTATATAGGCTCGATTAAGGATAATAGGCTTTTAACTTAGCGGTGTCTGCGTTACAATAAGAGGTTCATAAATTCGTGAAATTATCCGACATTCGATCAACCGCACTTAATCCGAATACGATTAATTGGATAATACACTTCCATTTGTCCACAGGGGCAACGGATTCGCCCACTAATCAGTCTTCAAAAAGCTTATGCCCCCTCTTATCTGTCTTCTTCTCGGAGAGCTATAAAAAAGTATGTACTTGATTTTATTGAATTGTATTATCTAATTCATGATTAATATATGAAAATTGTACCAGTTTAGTATCAAAACTTCCCGGCCGGATCAGACAATTGTAAATGGTTAATGCACGGCAGTGATGGGTTTAGAGAAAACTCTTGAATAAAAGCCTATTCCTTTTTTCAAATATAGCGACATAAGTGAAGTTCCGGGATTTTGTTTAATTAACTTTTGCAATGAACACTGATGAATAGCGTGTGATCATTTTCCTATTTGAAGATAATCGAGTCCAGTATATTTTTTATCGCAGCGAATGCTCTGTCTCTTCCCCAGGCGACACGATGGCCCTTTCTTGCTCTTACAGAACACACGTGTTCTCTTGGGAATGATCGACTACTCTAGCTGCATTCTTCCCATAATGCCCTGTGGTTTCGGGAAACTAGATTTCTCTTCAAGTATATCATTTACCAGTATTTCAGGTAGATACATGATCAATAGAATGAAAAAAAAATGATACTAATTGAATTCAGTATTAGGTCACAACTTAAAGATGTTTGTTTTTCACTCATTTGATCCCAAAATCAGAATTCTCTCAAAGATCGTGTATAAACATTACATGGACAGATAACCAATGAATAATTTTAAAACCAAATTGAACGTAATCATTAAAAGCTTTTTAAAAAGGGATAGCGTGAGATGAGAGGGTTATAATACGAGACTGTAGGCTGTTAATATGGTTTGATTTTATTATTATTTTTTATTATTTTACTTTTTGACGAAGAGTAAAATAATACAAGGTATAATACAAGGTCTTTTTTAGCACGCCATACACATTTTGGCGCTTTAAAGCATGCATATTACTAAACATTTCATTGTTGAGCTTATAGGCTAATAAAAATAACTACATATAGAGAAATAAATATGATGCAAATAAATATAGGTACGTACTAAATATATAATTATGATATTACAACAGAACAGAAACCTCAACGAAGCATCAAGTCCCTGATGAGTTTTGTACCAGGGCATCAGTATGAATGACATTTTTATTAGGCAGCAAAGCAGTGACCGCTGATCCAGCTGAGTTTTTCGTTAGGTGTTGACAAGCACCTCGAAAAAGATAAAAGCACAAAGCCATAGGCCACTTGTTTTCGTCCGTTTCTCGGTGTGTTTGGAACCCGTGATGAAGCACTCGCCCTCGTTTTCGACATATTACACCAAGTGCGAGACAGTGTTTCGTCACACCATTGAGCACCCGACAGTGAGAAGAGCCGATTTCGACGAACGTTAAGGTGTTTGATAATGTGTTGAAATACTGTGTCTAATGTTGATATCTTTTCTCACGAAAACGTTATTTTAGAGGCAGATGTTAAGGATGCAAAAATGGGAAGTTTTTCATCTGATTTCCAGAACACTCATTTTAAAAACATTCATTTTATTTGTATTTTCTTCATGAATTTTTCATGAACTTGAGATAGGTTAACTCTAAAAGACCATATTAGACAAAGTGATGTGTAACTCAAGTTTGGTTTACAATTGGTGCTCGCGGTGCACAGTTCCGGAGTTTGGTACTCGCTGGGACCTAATGTGAACACACCCCTTTTTCACGTACGCCAGTATGTCAGGCGCTTTTCTATGTCCGAGTACAAGGTCAAACCACACTGCACTGCACGTGTTGTGTTAGTTGCGAGGCAAACCACTGCATACCCATCACTTTCTATTTACTACTTTCACTTCAAAATGGAGTCTGGCAGGAGGAAATGGAGAAATTATGTACACAGTTACTTATCCGGCGGACGGCGCACGGCGCACGTTCCTAACCAATGTATGCTTGTTCTCTCTCAAAGAAAGTGAGTGCATTTTTGAAGACGCCTCGATACATGGCTTACTACTAGGTTATACCCAAGAAGTCTAGAATACCTTGCTTTTTTTGGTCTAGCTTGTTGATTAGTTGTTTTTAAGAGTTTTTAAGCCTAAAATAGAGCTCTTTGGATTGTTGGTGTTCCCCTTCCGTTTTACCATAATAGTAAAAGGGTAAAGGCTTTGACTTTTGCCTTCTATATAACTCACACTACACTGTGGACGGCTCTCTGAAAAGAGAGATAAACAAAGCTTTTTTATATAATTATGACTTTTTGGCAAATGATTAGAGGTGAAATTCTACCTATAAATAAAAAAGGAAACTGTATTAAAACTTGAAATACTTAAAATTAGACATAATTAAGCGCGGTGCCCCTAAATCCGAAAGCCTTGGATGGTCAAGCAAGCTCATAGTATAAAGCAGCCTTGGTAGCAACGTCGCACGACGTCAATATGGAAATATATGGAAATTCTGCGAATTGATGGCCAGGGATTAAACTGTTTGCAAAACGAGATAAATCTCACGAGGTCAGTTTGTTAAGGTATGTTTAAAAAAAACTGGGAAATGTAGTAGCGATGATGACAAAAAAATAGATTACTTTTAGTGATCGTGGAATTGAATGTAGCTACAATAATGGTTAGTTGAGTAAAGGGTATTTTCAATAATAATGCCGCTGTTGATAATGATTATGACGATGATGGTGGTCGTGGTCGTGGTGGTGGTCACAGACGAAAGGCAAAAGAAGGTACGGGTAAGGATGGACAAAACTGAAGAGGATTAAAAAGAAATGCAATTAGAGTTTTTGAAAACTGTTAAACGTAATAGGATTTTGCAAATTTTATCCAAGCCTCGGGATTTACAATTTTGCTAATTACAAGAAATTTGGCCTCGCGCATATTAAGTTCCATAGAGAGTAACGAGGAGTAATTGGAAAGGCTATACAAAAAGAACTGGGCTCACAAGATACAGCCCCTTTCAAGATTGCGATAAGTTTGGAAATGGTGTAATTAGGTAGTAGTTATGGTGACTGTGATGGTGAAGGTTTCGTATGGATAATAGCCACGCGTTTATAGACAACACTTTCTCCCCCTTTCAATCGTTTTTTCCTCATAAACCCTATATTAGAGGGGGCCGAGAGAGTTAAGCTCTAAAATTTGTTCGCAGAATTCCCATACAAACCATGACGCTTAAGCATTTAGTAATTGCACAAGCAAGAGGGCTTGGTACGCCTGTATTCAGAGAAAAATCCCTATTGATTGAAAACATGGCCTCAAAACTCCTCCTCTTCACCATTCTCCTCTCCTTCGGCGGAATCCACGCCAACCTCCTCATAATCCTTTTCCAGCGCAGCTAAGTCTTCGCGTGCCTCGAAGAATTCTCCTTCCTCCATTCCCTCACCAACATACCAGTGTACAAATGCACGTTTCGCGTACATCAAGTCAAACTTGTGATCAAGACGAGCCCAGGCCTCTGCGATCGCAGTAGTGTTGCTCAACATGCAAACTGCGCGCTGTACTTTCGCCAGATCGCCACCTGGTACGACAGTGGGAGGCTGGTAATTTATTCCAACCTAGAAAGAAAAGTATGTACAATTATAAATTATGGCTTTAACAAAACTGCAAGAATTTCCAAGACATTCAGAAATCAGAGCCTGCGTAACCCGGCTGTCAACCACTAAGGCAATACACAGTGATAATATTTAAAACTACAAAAGGGTAATTTCATCCTTACACTCTCTAACTTTTTCAAGTGTTTAAGTGTGGATCTAACTTTTGCTGCTTGCTGTTTTTGAAGTCTGAGACTCAGTTTTATCTAAAGAGTGGTTAGAAGTTCATTTCACTGACCAAATTAGAGGTCCTTTTAGAGCTCCTCTCTTAAAAGAGAGGAACTGCAAGTCACAAGAAGGGCTGACCGTTTACTTAAATTTACTTTTAAGCACGAAATTCACCATGAACAGTTTCGAAACAACTAAGTGGCAACAAACACTGTATAAAGATATCGCTTATTTATTTCCATCTTTTATGGGAATTCTCTTTTCAAACGCCTCTATAGGGGTTTCACTGAAGATACGGCTATATTTTGTGGTGGCTCCTAACACATTAGAAGTACTAAGGGCAACTTGCCTTAAATCCAGTTGGGCACCAATCAACAAATTGTATCGATCTCTTAGTCTTTAAAGTAGCAATAGAAGCGTTGACATCCTTGGGTACCACGTCCCCGCGAAACAACAAACAGCAAGCCATATATTTGCCGTGACGTGGGTCGCATTTTACCATTTGATTTGCTGGCTCAAAACAGGCACTGGTGATCCCCGCGACATTCAACTCCTCGTGATAGGCTTTCTCGGTAGAAATCACGGGAGCGTACGTGGCCAGGGGAAAGTGGATGCGTGGATAGGGGACTAAGTTGGTCTGTAACGTCAAGGGAAAACAGTTGAGAATTTATTTATTAAGAGCGATTTTCGCATGACCTTGAAAATTGGTTTCGGTAAGTGTTCGTTATTCGTTTATCAGCCAATGGATGAAAAGATCAAAACATGGCCTCTTCGTTTTCCCGCTAAAGAAAACCCTAATATGGAGAGGGCATCGTTCGATTGGCCATTCGTGTTGCAAAGCGAAGTATCGATTGATTTCTAGAAAGTTCTCGGGCATGAAGTTTTTTCAGCCGAGCGTCCGCTCGACCAACCAACGCGTTTGTATCCTTTCGATTAACCAATCAAATCGCTCTATTTCCGTTCGTTAATTGTTTTTGTTTTGTTTGCGCGTTTTCATTTCAAGGTCATACGAAAATCGCTCTAAGCGAGAAACCAATTCAAATTATATCCATCTATAGCCATTGCCTCACATAAGGAATCCATAATCCTGGGATTTGGAATCCGAAATACAGCTGAGGGATTCCGAATTCCTGCTTTTGATTAAAAATCGGAATTCAAGTTCCATTGACAAGGAACCTGGAATCCAGTACCCAGGGAGTACCTGGAATCCGGAATGCACAGCGTGGCACCAGAATTCAAACCTGTCTTGGATGCGATAACCTTGCATGGGTCGAATCCGAGCTACCTTGGGTAAATTTTTGAAGGATTCATAATTTGGCCTAAGGGATATTTGCCGCTGAACAGGGTGAACAAGGAAAAGTGTGAAATAAAGGTTAGCGATGAGCGTTCCGGATGGTACCAACAATTTTTTTCCAGACAAATCTATTTTCACTATGTTAGTTTGAGAATTCTAATTCTGTATGTGAAATGAAATGCGTCAGGACATAAAATAGGGTCTCTCGCCGGGGTCAGGATTTGAAGGCCTCGGCGGCAAAACTCTACCTAAACTCAACTGGGGGTAAATTCGACACATAATGCCTTTCAAGGCTGCAAAGAAAAGAATGGGTACTGTTGAGGAAGACGTCATTCTTTGCTTTGAGGAGAATGAAATAACAATATATATGTAGAATGTATATGTAGAATTACCTGAAATTCTGTGAGATCCACATTCAGTGCACCATCAAACCGCAACGAAGCTGTAATGGAGGACACAATCTGACCAATCAGGCGATTGAGATTGGTGTACGTGGGACGCTCGATATCAAGATTACGACGGCAGATATCATAAATGGCCTCGTTATCAACCATGAACGCGCAATCAGAGTGTTCCAGGGTGGTGTGAGTGGTGAGAATAGAATTGTACGGCTCCACCACTGCTGTGGCAATCTGGGGGGAGGGGTAGATAGAAAATTCCAACTTGGACTTCTTGCCGTAGTCAACTGAGAGACGCTCCATTAACAAGGAAGTGAAGCCAGACCCAGTACCACCTCCAAATGAGTGGAAAATGAGGAAACCTTGAAGACCGGTACATTGATCGCTCTGTGGAACAAAGTATACCCAAATGTTCATCCAACAGATACAAAGAGTCGGTTATTTATAGGAAGTCTGACTTGAAGCGCGGTTTAAGGGGCCGACCATTTAATGTTTGATTTGGAGGGGGGGGGGTTATGGGTGGTTTGGTTTGGGTACGAATTTTTTTTCCCAAAACTCTGGTGATAGAATTTACTTAGTTCGAGATGTTGGTTAAATTCTCGCAGGCTTAATCCCTTGGCGGATGTTTTCATGACAGCTGACACTTTCCACCAACGGGTTACTGACTGAACTTACCAGTTTTCGAATCCTGTCAAGGACGAGATCAATTTGATTCTTTCCAACAGTGTAGTGCCCGCGGGCATAGTTGTTAGCGGCATCTTCCTTGCCTGAGATCAATTGGTCAGGGTGAAAAAGGCAACGGTATGTACCGGTGCGAACTTCATCTATGAGGAAAAACCAAATGATTATGAACACTACTTGACGCCGTCAAATCTGACAAATAGAAACGCTGTTTTAAAACTTGCCTAGCACGAACCCTAGAAAGCTGCTCTTAGCTAAGTGTCTATAAATTCTTCGCTGAAGTAATTCAGCTTGGAGCTTAAATCACTTCAAATGCACCACGTACCGAAAATAGTTTCTATGTACAACCCCCCCTTCCCCCCCAATTTAGAGAACCAAAAAAATCAGATCAGTGCAATTTTGTGTTAACAATGCAAGCCCATCGGATGAAGATGGGCTTGCTTAACAACTAGCAAACTGTCGCCTAAACATTTCATAAAATCATTGAATATTTAAAGACTATAGAACTTTCCTTGACAACACCGGTAACAGGGATCGACAGTAGCCAAGAAACTGAACAAACATTGATAAAATAAGCGGTCTATCATTGCAGTTAGAACTGGAAAGTAAGGTACCTTTTTTTCAGTTAGCGAATTAAGCTAGTCAAAAAACGTATCTATGAACCTACTTAAAATTGATTTGTCCCCATAACCAAAAGGGAAATCGTATTTCAAGTTTAGCTAAATTCCTAAATTCCGCCGTACAGCTTTCAAAAATCAAAAAGCGAAACAAAATGAAAAAAATGAACAGGTAGATGTTTAAAATATTAATAGCAAAAAGAAGATAACAATAGACTGTCATTTCTTTCTCGCGTACATACCAACAACCGAAGGTTCCAAGTCGACCATTACTGCTCGAGGGACGTGTTTTCCAGCTCCAGTTTCGTTGAAAAATGTATTAAAAGAGTCATCTCCTCCGCCTAAGGTCTTGTCGCTCGGCATTTGACCATCCGGTTGAATGCCATGCTCTAAGCAGTACAGTTCCCAACACGCATTACCGATTTGAACCCCGGCTTGCCCGATATGTACCGATATGCACTCTCGCTGTAATGACAAAAAAATATAGACTCTAAGTAAAGATACAACTCCTTATTTATCAAAGTGTCTTTCACTAGCGCTACTTTTTCAACGAAGTTAAAAGAAACTAAGACGGTAGATACACCAATTTGCTTTGTTTTCATGAGGACCGTGTCGTGAAGACCTTAAACGGCGCATGCAGCAAAGCGAACGCTAATTTTTTCCGTATTCATATTCGAGTTAAAATATCAGTAATATAATTTCGCTTTCATAAGATAGCCATCTACCTTTTTCTTTCTCTAATCAGATTTAAATTTTTGTTTTGTTCGATAAATAATAATAACTGAATCAACCCACTAAAGCTGCAGTCAAGAAGGGTAGGTGTCGAAGAAACGTTTTCAAATATAGCGAAGCAAAAGGTTCAACCAAGAATTACGATAGGCCCATCTCGACGATTTTGTAAATTTAAGAACCATTGATTTGTAATTACAGTAGATTTAACGTTTAGGAAAAATATTGTGATTTAAAGATATCATCTGAAAATATTATAGTCAAAGACGTCACGACGAGAAACTATAGCAGACACAACAATATGACCCGGTATAGGTCTAAAAGACGCTAAAAAAAAAAGGAAATATTAATAAAAGCAATGATCAATATCTCCCGTAACTGTAGTACTTACCATTCTCTCACGTTACCTTCCTCGCGGGAAATCTTCACCATCCAAAAATTTCGTAATTAGAGAGAACTGTGATTGAGATTTTCCACTTAACTGACAATACCACACCTGTGGTACTTGCTGTGAGTAACTAAACAATAAAACTACAAGTAGAGAGACAGTGAATGATAACTTGTCACGACCAGTTAAAAATTCATCAAGGGACCTCCCTAAAATGTTATTTTGGCTATTCTTGAATACCTTGCTGTTGGCGCGGCCGTTGTAGACAAAATAATGGCGTTAATTATCTGTTCCTCACTAATTGTATCTTGGTAATCGTATTGTAAATCAATCTGGACAAAATGTCTTACACTGCATTAAGTTAATTTGATTGTAAGAAATAAAACTAACGCACGACACACAACGGAGAAGTAGAATTTAGAAGTGGCACATGTACAGGTGTCGATTAAGAGAGTAGGATAGCCAACCCCAAAGAACATCCAGGTATATTTTATAGCGATTATTTGCAATTTGATCAACGCAAAACTGTAAAATCTACCTAAAAATTGGACAGCTAATTAACCATGAATCTTTAGGGTGACAGACTTTGCTAATTGATGATACTGGAAAACTTGATCTGAACTCAGGGAAACCAGCTGCTTACGATCAAAACTTCCAGCTGACTGAAAGGAGAGTTTTGAAGAGTTACAGTGGGTGGGGCGGGAGGGATAAGGGGCCTGCCCTGAGAGGTTTGACCGAGATACTCGAAACTACCTTTTTAATAATCGACAATAGCTTCTTTTTTTTTCGGACGACGAAATTATTCATCGACTTCAAAGGTCATTTTCCTTACTTATAGTGCACCTATACTAAAAGAAATGCAAAGTTTTCAACCACACAGACAGATTGTCCTGTCGTATATACTTTCGAGTGATCACCTTAATTTAGGCCCAATGGAAGCTCTCGGAACAGCTTCCAGGACTGGGGAAGAAAAAAGTAAACCGCAAACAACAGGAACAAATGACCAACAGAGGTGAAATAATAGACGTTCGTGTCAGGTGGAGAGAATGACGAACACAAGTTGGACGAGACTTACCAGAAGTTGAAGTTCGACTGGGGTTCCACAAGGTGGAATTTAAGGTTTCCAAGATTTTTGCGACTGCTTCTAGTGGCGTAATTTGAATGCTAAATGCCTTAGTCTGCGGTTTAACAGCTGAATGAAGACAACAGCAAAGGGTACAGAACGTCAACTATAGACCGTCATCTGTTTTGGGGAACACCGGTAAATTGTCCATGAACGACTGGTATTTGACTTCTAATAAAGTGGAAGATTAAAGCTTTCGTGATTTTTTTGTATATGGGGCATCCAAGACCATTTCGTCAACTAATTGTATTGTGGCATTGTGAAACATTACGGCAAATATTATCCTATACACTTTGCCCTTGAAAATTGGAAATTTATAATATTATAATATTTGATTATCGCTGCCTCCGACCGCCTCTTCCACCCCTTTTCCATCTTTAGCAACTGTTACGTCAAGACGCTTCTTCGTCTCCAGGAAACCCGCCTTACGTGGTGCCTTCTCTTGAATGATGTACAGTACTCGATAATCGGCCTAATGTCCAGGCCTCTCAATCTTCCCTGCTCTTGCGCAGTGCTCATGGTGTCTTGGGAAGACGAGCCTGAGTTTCTGTTTTCCTGACAGCTTGGGAACGAGGTAACCGCGGAATTGGCTGTGGAGTGAAGTGTTTGCTGGGCAACTTCAAAACTTAAGCTTTTTTTTACGTATCCTTGCGCACAATATTGCAGACCAGAACATCTGCATTTTACTTTTTCCTTGTGTTGCGCTCGATCGTTGACACGTTGATTAGAAATCGTTCGCCTAAATTTTTAGGCGCACGCACTCTTGTCTAAGAAAGCTTTCAGAGCCTTACGTGTCGCGCTTTTCTTGCCTCGTTTGAAATTAAAAGTTCCTTTCAATTGTGCAATACCCTCGTTCCCAGGGTACTCTCCTACCCTGCAGGGAACGAGGTTGAATTGTATACATGCTAACGAGGTCAGTAAGGCTAATCATCATGCATGAAAAAAAATAATAAATAGATAAACTAAAATAAATAGTTCGGCGTTACGAAAATGTCTATTAAAAACCTGAAAAGGGTGTCAAAAAACATGTCTTCAACTGGGGAAAAAATTTCTGCAAACCGGAAGGTGGACAAATTGTATGTTTATTCTAAAGAAAACATATATTAGAAAGTTCACCCTATATGGTAACAATCTCGGTGAATGTAATACTAATGACTTAAATTAACATTTCTCACATGATCAAGGAAACAGCGCGTATTCATTTAAAACTAACCCATAATAATGCCGATGATGAAAAGGACAACAAGCTTTTGCAAAAGCATTAAGCTAAAGTCTACTTCTGTTCACTTATTAACTGAAGGAGAATTTTCTTGTAATTTCCTCGTGTATCGTCCTGAAAAAAGGAAAGAAAAATATTTACTTGGGTAGGAGTTGCAGTTCAAACTTCTAGAGAGATTCAAAGGCTGGCATTTCGAACGCGAANTTCTGTTCACTTATTAACTGAAGGAGAATTTTCTTGTAATTTCCTCGTGTATCGTCCTGAAAAAAGGAAAGAAAAATATTTACTTGGGTAGGAGTTGCAGTTCAAACTTCTAGAGAGATTCAAAGGCTGGCATTTCGAACGCGAACTCTTCGTCACTCCAAATAAAACTTAAATGTAGGTGTTTCACTTCCTCTATGAGACCTTTTTGAGTTCAAAGATATCTTTACTCATATAAAAAGCATCAGAACTTTGAAAAAGAAGGTAAAGTTTGAGGCAATAGGCGAAGCAAGTCAGAGCTAATTCAGCAGTTTCCTTCAAGTCCAGATAGGATTGACGTGACTGAAGTATCAATTGAAAGCAACGCTTTACACTGCTGAAGGAGGGAGGGGTACACAAAATTAGAAAGGATTTAAAATAGGGTTGCATTCAGGTATAACTTTGGATAAACTTAAAAACAGACGTCAGTTTTTCTCGACTTGCGTGAAAGTCGGAAATATCCCTTGTTTGTTACATCGTCACTACTTTGGCAACAGCACAATTCGAGGTTAGGAGCTACTTAATTATAAGAGAAAAACGATAATGACATTCAAGACCCAGCCAACCTTGTTTCCAAACGGCTAAAAGAAAGAGACCCTTGGAAACACCTAGTGACGGAACGTCTGAGTAGGACATCGAGTACACTCGCTTAAAATGAACAGGATTCATCTCCGGAAGCCTTACTTGGGATTACCCAAGACCTAGTACCTTTGTAAGATAAAAATATTAAACACATTTATATGACTCGTACCGATATAAACTTAGCCAGTGAGCAATGATATAACTTGGCAAACTCGTCCTTAATGTCCAGCAGATCCACCTCTGATCGCGTCACAATGATTCGTATAAGGGTGGCATCATCTGTTCCAAGACCCTAAACAAGACGAAAGATAGGTGTACTAGCTAGAAGTCGAAATTCGTGGGACGAAATCGTTTCAAAGGCAAATATTTTAAAACAGATTCGTCGCATTAGCTCCCTGAGTCCCAGTTCTCCCGTTTGTATCCGCCAATTAGGAAAGGAGAAGGAAATTGGGCCGAGTTCGCTTTCGCGAAGACTTCACGAAGAAAATCGTTTACCCACCTTCATGCTCTTGTACAGCTTCTCAGCAAAGAATGCAGGCGAATTCCTCACAATCCGAACTGAAATGAAAAACAGAAAATTAAGGATGACGAGAATGATAGGGCGATCCTGCACCTATTTGAAAGATTGATTTTGGTTAGCTAGGAAAACAATAGGGATTGTCACATAACAACGCCTCTATCCCTGAAAACAATGGAAGTGCAGATTAAAGGGGACCAGTGAAATAAGAGGCATAGAACGGTGCACGTCTACTGGAATGACATACACCAATGTTAGTTTATTAACCATATTTTGACCCAGCCTGCGGCGAAAAAAAAAACTGATGTCAGTGGAGAGGGTAATAAACTGAAGATATGGCCTTAAAAAATTATCCTTGAATAACGCAAGCACTCTAATCATCATTTCTTCAGTGTTACCTATAGCAGTCATTCCATCTCTTAAGTCACCAGACATCTCCCTCTTTATTGACTCTTCAATGTCATATTTAGAAATCTGAAAAGAAACATGAATACATACAGTACATACAGAACTGAAGTAGCACTATCCACGGCTTTAAAAGCGCCATGTCACGAGGATACTACTGTTCTTGGCCAATTCTGTGCTTAAGTCAGCACTTGGTGCATTAACCAATACACAAAATGCTCCTGTAGAGTTTTAAAGATCTGAAACAAATTTCAATACAGCAAAAACCATAGTATTCTTTTGGGTGATTTCTGCAGTCATGACATTAAAACTTGAACCAACTTTTTCACGTTTCAATCCATTTCCATCCTTGCCATCTCTAACAACAGACGACAGGAAACAGTTTCAGTGCCTAAATATAGTCTTAAATAACAAAACTAACAATTATTTTTGGAATTTAGTTGATCCGAAGGCACATTTAAGCTTTTTAAAAAGATAGCAAATAGCGTGTCCTGTTTCATCTGTCACCAGGAGAGCGGGAAAATCACAACTGGAAGGTTGCACTTACAAGATGGTTCACGACTATTCCTTATTGACAGAGTGGACAAAGAGCCTAGCTCAACTCAAGTAAAATGATCACTTTACCCCTTCTAATTTTTTTTAAAACACATAAAACGGAGGATTAAAGGAAACTATACAAAATTCCCTCATGTAAGAAAATAAACCGTTAGGCTGCAGAGCGTTATAACGAGAAGTATTGATTCAAAGTTTTGTTGAATCGAAGAATGAAAAGTCATCACTCACCTTGGCGTATTCATCGAAGGTTGCTTTTAGCTGGGAAAAACTTCGTGAGACAAGGATGATATTAAACCTAAAAAATAAAAGATTGCAGTTGTATGCCAAAAAAATATATAAATCAACGATCCGAGCTGGAAACCAAGTGTTGTCACGAGAACAAGTTCTTCGCAACCAGTCACAGAACGCGCCACTCCAACCGTCCATGAATTTCAAATTTCCAACTTAAAACCGAAATCTGTTTTCAGAATTTTTAGTCTGATGATCGAAAACTACAGTAGTGCGTGAAACTCCGAGTTACAACTCCATAATCTTCCATCCTTTTCATTTGTATTTCGCTCTGCAAATTTTTATGCATTAAGCACTCCTAGGATAAGTAAACCTATACGTAGATTTTTTAGTTCATGAGTTTTACTAGTAAATATTTGGTTCTGTAGTTTTCTCAACGACCGCTTAATCTTTACACTTATAAAACTCACTTTGATTCGTCTGTTCCCCATCTTGCTTCTCCTGCTTGGTATAGCGCCTACACACAAGTTGATATTTGACAACAGTAAGCTTAACCTGCCAGAGGACGCTTTTCAAAGCATCGCTCTACGTTTGGCAACAAAATTCCCATCCTCACTGGTTTCTACAAGGAAAAGGATTAGTCCAGGTTCCAGTTTTTTAACCGACCGATATCATATATTTAAACCGATAATTGGCCAACTGTAACTGGTCCACGTTGTTATGGTGTTCCTGTTAAGTCCGGCAGGGCTAATGATAAAGCTTGAAGGCCCGGGTTCGATTTAGCCCGCTGTTTATATGGGGTTCGAGTTTGTTGATGGCTTCCTTCTTTGCTCCGAGAGGTTTTTGCAGGTTTTTTAGTTTTATCCTTCTGTTAAAAGCTAGTAATTCCGAACCCCCACGATCCGAAAGGCAAGTAAACATTCTTATAGAGTTCTAATTAACTACAACTACTATTTATCTTTTACTCAGGAAAGTAAAAAGCGTCAAGAAATCTTCAAGTTTTTTAATAACTTTATTCTAATAAAAGAAACTTCTGCAACGCACCTTCGCATCTGCCTGAGCTTTAGCAAAATCAACAGACTGGTTTTCGTCTCTGTAGGCCTGTAGGAATAAAAGAACACGAAACAGCTTGGTGCGGATCAGCACCTGGAAAACATATAAACGAAGGTTTGCGCATACTAGGTGCTAAAAAATTGGGCATGGGTAAACGGATCTTAACTCATTACTTGGACAGAGTAGTCACACCCGCTCACCTCCCCACCCCTCTCCCTTCCACTCCCCTTCTCCCGTCCCCTCCCCTCTCGTCTCTTCTCCTTTAATATTGTAAACGGGTCTTCATGAAATCTTTGTATATTGACCGAACTTTTACAAGAATTTTATCTATGATCTTCTTTGTAGTAAAAGTAGGGAAATAAAATGAAAAGAAAATCTTTCACAAAGAGAAAATTCTATCGCCTGGCCCGCGGATTCTTGTGAACTTGTTCTGACTATGACTATGAATTTTACCTGAAGAAGTGAAGTGAGGAATTTCTTGAAATAACCAGAAGTGTCTCCTGCAACATCCTTTTCCAAGTCTCGGCTGAACACTTGAGACATGCCAAAAAATGCATATGTTTTCATTAGCCAGAGAAAGTATTAAGGGAAAGGTGTAACTAGGGTAAATGAGTGAGCTTGGTGTTAGTCAAGACTAGCTTCACAAGTTCAAAACCCCACCTGAATCACCAACCGCGATCTTTAATAAATTGGCAAGAACTTGCTTGCTGTGACTAAGATTATATCTTCTCACTTCGTTGAGATGATCACAACTTCAATAAGGTCTAATTTAAATACTTCAAATACCGCTATTTTAATTAACGGTGTTGGACGAAAAGCCTATCCCACGACGACCACGACTGAGAAAGCATAGAGATATTATAGGTAATAATTTCACAAACATTTAGCCACCTCTGCCATCCGGCGTGAAATCGTAAAGGTAAACTCTAGTGATGTTTCATACCATTCTATAGCACTGACAAGTTACGACAGGATTACAAAGAAACTACCCACGCGACCTTGTAGCCATATCGCTTTAGCTTGAGGCCTTAAAATTGAAATAGCTGTCAACTATTTCGCCAACTCACGCTTTTGATAGGAATGTTTTATTGCAGTGACCTCTGAATTACTTCTTGTGCACAGAATCTCAATCAAAACGCCTTCATCTGTTCCGAGACCCTGAAAAAACACACGGAAGCGAATTGAATGAATTGTGAGGGGCAGTATGCTGCCAGTGTTTAATTCAGTTTAAGGGAGTGAACAAGCAAAAGAAGGGTATAAAAAGAAGGCCAGTTAAAAAAGCCCTCTCCCAAGATTTCAAAGGCGCTAGTTACATGCAAAGTTACAGATCAGCAGCGAAAGAAAGAAGCCAACATGTAACTAACGGACGAATCGGCAGCTTTTAAGTATCTACGGGATGACTTAGTTAACCAAATTCATGCATGTAAAATGAACTACACGAATTGGATTCGTAAGAAACCTTATTGGCCCCCAAAATCCCAAGCAGGGCTATCCTGCTATCCTGTAAGCCAGGATAGGGGGATAGGCCCTTGGTTCTCACAGTGCAGGATTTGGTTCATTGTCCTTATTCCACCCACTCCTCCCTTACAAGACCACCCTCCCTTCTAGCGAAACTCGATATACCTTGTACTTACCTTGATGGCTTTTCTCAGTGAAGTAGCATCGTAATCCGCGGGAGGCATCATAAGAGCAAGAACAATGTCCTCAAAATGACCACCCAGTTCATATTTAAGATCCTTCAAAAGGTCCTACAGGGTGGCAAAATTACTAACAGTCAGCACTGCTAAGACTATGTGGAAACTTGTCGTGAAATNTATTGCAGTGACCTCTGAATTACTTCTTGTGCACAGAATCTCAATCAAAACGCCTTCATCTGTTCCGAGACCCTGAAAAAACACACGGAAGCGAATTGAATGAATTGTGAGGGGCAGTATGCTGCCAGTGTTTAATTCAGTTTAAGGGAGTGAACAAGCAAAAGAAGGGTATAAAAAGAAGGCCAGTTAAAAAAGCCCTCTCCCAAGATTTCAAAGGCGCTAGTTACATGCAAAGTTACAGATCAGCAGCGAAAGAAAGAAGCCAACATGTAACTAACGAACGAATGGGCAGCTTTTAAGTATCTACGGGATGACTTAGTTAACCAAATTCATGCATGTAAAATGAACTACACGAATTGGATTCGTAAGAAACCTTGTTGGCCCCCAATATCCCAAGCAGGGCTATCCTGCTATCCTGTAAGCCAGGATAGGGGGATAGGCCCTTGGTTTTCACAGTGCAGGATTTGGTTCATTGCACTTATTCCACCCACTCCTCCCTTACAAGACCACCCTCCCTTCTAGCGAAACTCGATATACCTTGTACTTACCTTGATGGCTTTTCTCAGTGAAGTAGCATCGTAATCCGCGGGAGGCATCATAAGAGCAAGAACAATGTCCTCAAAATGACCACCCAGTTCATATTTAAGATCCTTCAAAAGGTCCTACAGGGTGACAAAATTACTAACAGTCAGCACTGCTAAGACTATGTGGAAACTTGCCGTGAAATGCTGAGTACTCATTTCATTTATTCATTTCATCTAAGAGTTTATTCAGATATTTACAATTTCAGTTATTTTCTTACTGCCCACAAATTGCAAAGGCTAGCCTAGGTGGACAATGACTATATAAAACAAAATACACACTCCAAATGGTATTATATTAAATCAACAGGTCAAAAAAAGGTATTTAAGCTTAAATTAAGTTGTACAAGAGGTGAGGAAAAGAAGAAAGGTTACGTTAAAAGCAAAGCTAAGATTAGCTGGAATACAGAAAATAAGTCAGAAGCTTATAAGTACACTATTAAGATGATCAGTACAAAGATAACAAGTCGGTGAATTACGGACGATTTTGAATATGTTGCATTTGTCCTAATAAGGTAGGCATATCAGGATAGTCGTTTGTTTTGATTTGAAGCAAGCAGTCATGTATTTTCTTTTTTAAAGCTTTCTTTTGGGAGATTTCTAATCCTAGAAGGTATGCAATTCCATACTTTGGCCCCCAATCTTGAAAATGAGTTGCCCAGTTTATCCAGTCTTGTTTATCCAGTAAATGACAATTCCAAAAATAATCAGAATAATCATAAACACACAAAACCACCAGTAATGATCACATTGTTCAACGTTTCCGTCTTGTCCGTTTCGAGCGACAGGCTTTTTTCGCTTTTCTAGCTAAGCTGTCAAACCGATTTAAAACCAAGTGATCGCTAGCATATTGTGCGTGTTCTTCTGTTTTGTAGCGCAAAATAACGTCGTCAGTACGTCGTCTTCTTAACTTCCATTAGAACGACATGTAGCTCAAGTTATGGGTGAAAAATGCTCTTGTGTTATCAACTAAATTTATCTTGTGTTGCCAGGTGCTTCATTCTTTTGAACATCAACTAAACATCCACATGTCAAGGGGGGAACTTAATGCGATCAATTTGGATTTTGAGTGGATAATTCTTAGCCAACAAACAGCTACCTAATGCTGAAACATCGCGCACTAACATAACAAGATGGAAAGCATCAAGGCTTACCCTGCCATACATTGTCTTGTATTCTAACTCAATCCGTTGTCTCTGGCTATTTGTTCGCGAACAAAGCAACGTAGTAATAGCTTTGGAATCACATCCTACAGAACGGATAAAAAGGAGCATAATTATCTACGAAAACTTCTTTGATAGCCGAATATCATTCTTCTCACATGCATTTCTTTTGCACATATATACATTTTGCTCTGCGAGTAGGAGAATGAGGCGATCTCATAGTCGTACACACCAGAAACGTAAATCTTCAATCCAGGTCCATGTTTTATTAGGTTGGGAAGCGTTTTCACGAAACCCCAAACCCCGCGAGGACCCGAAATTATTTGGAAGGAAGTGTACTGGTGGGTACTGCAAAAAACGAGATTTTCCTCGCAGAATCATCTGTTCCAAATTACATAATTTTTTTGCGTTTTTCTCTCGCCTCTTTGACTGAATCGCACTCATTTGGGTATGGTTCGAAAAATCTCTTCTTCCTGCACAAGTCGAGTTTCAACGATGTATAATAATGATGACGTCACAAGCGGTATAAGGGACGCGGTCCAGGTTGATTGAGGTGTGCATAAGTTAATTATTTTCAAACGTGTTTTAGTGTGAATCAGCCATGTGACCATATAAGCAAGTCCCAGGGGTGAAGGAGGTTGGGGAAAAGAGGGGCATAAGAGTCCATAAAGAGACTTTAGAGGACATTTTTGCGTTTTATACCTAATCCCTTCATAGCTTTCCTTAACACTTCAGCGTCCTTCTGCGCATCAAAAGTTGTTTCGCGAACTTTGACAGATGCTCGCTTGGTTGAAGACTGAAAAAGAAAAAAATTTAGTTAGGTTAACTGGAAACGCCGATCGCACAAACATTAGACAAAATTGTGAAACATAAACCTTTCTATACATAGAGACACACACAATGGCACAGGTTTTGATTTCGGTTTTGGGCCATGCTTTAAATAACAACTCTCTAACTAGCCATGAGTTAACATGTTTTGGACTCGTTAAATCAAGATGATAGATTGATAGATTGATCGGTTTTCTGCCGGATTCTAATCATTAGAAGGATTCCGGTTTCTATTCATTAGCAGAGTTCTGGATTCCTTGAGCTGCATTGAATTACAGATTCCAAAGCTTAGGAATCCGGATTCCACAAGCATAAATTTTTTCAGAATCTGGATTCTACAAGCACAGTTTTCTCCAATTCCAGACTCTAGATCACCTTACATGAGGCGATTCTGATACAACTTAATTGCCATTAACTAATTAAATGATCATTAAATTTGTACCTGATGGCTTGATCCAGACTTGGTGGTGGATGTAGAGTGTGACGAGTACGATGATGATGATGACATGTATGAGGATGAGGTTGAGTAAGATGATGCTGCTGCAGGGGGTGGAGGATGGGAAGATGGCATGCCAGCAGAGCGGGGAGCACTCGGAGGTGGAGCCTACAAAGGACGTGACAGAACGTCTTAAGTCAGTAGTACATAACTGTACTATTTCCTGCAGCATAAAACACTTACAAGTCATTCCTTTCTGACCAAGATATGGCTTCTGCTATTTCATTGTAGACATCTAAGCTCTTTTAGATAATTTAAGACAGTTCCAATTTGTTTGTTTGTCTATCTTCAGTATTGAGCTCAGGTCCAGTCCCTGAAGATATTTAAGGTTCATAGAGGAAAATAAGTAAAAGTAACTGTCATGTCTTCACATTCTCTGCAAAACCTGAAAATTAGCAGAGAATGACATAGAAAATAGTGTACCAGTAAGCATAATGCGCCTGCAAAACCATTAAACTGTTTTGTTTAATACAATAATGATTTTTCCAGCCACTATCTTTGCTGTTCCACTGTCAATTTATTTGTTGGGTTCAGGAGAGATGCATCTTTGGTGAGAATTCTTCTGCAGTACTACTGAAACAGATTGAAAGTATGTAGCATGCAAGCAATCTTAAGCTTCCTCGCTTTAAGCGGATTTAGGGAAGGAAAGACCATTAATTGAACAAAGAAAGAAAATGTCACAGACTGAAGGTTTGACCAAAGTGAAAAACCAATAGCTAACCATGGACAAGTTAGGCTGAGGTTGAGGTGGACCAACTTGACTCCTGTAGTGGCTTGGAAATGAAGCAGTGGCCATTGCTGCACCCTAAAACATTTCAAGATAAACTGAGCTATTTTAAAATAAGTGCACATCTTAACCAAAATATGTAAGGTGGGTATGTTACGGGTCAAAATTATTAATTCAGGTTCAAACTGTTTAACCCAAATTGATTCTCAATTTAACCTTTGTCTCCTAGCACTAATTATTCATGAATTTAAAGGGCTAGAAGACAAAGGAAATGACAACCTAGGTTAAAAAATTTTAACATGATTTTAATATTATTTTGACCTGTAACATGTATGCTGTACAGGGAAAGGATTAAAGCAGAATTCCATTTGTCTCCTATGATTAATTAAGGATAGAAAATAAAAGGGAATTTTAAATCAAACTAGGTTGAATACTGGTTTAATATAACAATGGATTTTACATGATTGTCGGATGAGGTTTCCACTGTGATATCCAAAATGTCAAGACCAAGGTATTTTAATAAAAACAGTGTTATCAGCCAGGCTGAAGGCTGAGGCTGATAACACTTATCCGGTACTGAGACCTTAATTATTCCTGGTATCAACAAAAAAACATATCTAACAATATTGTTTTATTTGTAGTTTGTTTTAAAGAAAATGACAACAAACAAACCATCGCATGGAACACAGATTGATTGCTCTTGGAAATTATGCATTGCACACCCAACCTACAGATTAGTCACTTCTGCCAGCAGATGACTAACTAATCTGTAGGTTGCCCAGATTTCCAAAATTAACTGTAGGTTCTTATAGCCGATGAGAGGATAAATAGTGAGTACATTGTAAAGTAATACTTAGAACATGTACACCCTGTTCAGTCAGGTTCAACTTTTATATGAATTTTATACTCTCGTTATAAACTGGTCTAATGTCGGGTGAGTAAGGTATAAAATAGTCATTTGGTCCTGCATTCTATGCATGAATACTGGTGAAATTTGAAGTTACCTTGTCATTCAAATAATTACCTAATTCTTGACAGTATTCATTTTTGTAGCCATGTAGCAAACACTAATCATAATACTTACTATGGTCTATATAGCTTAAACATAGAAGTGAAAAAAAAATGTTGTCTCACTTTTACCAATGAACAATTTGTACATTAATCATTGCTTCTCTATCTTTCACCAAAGTTGCATATTTGCTCTACACGCTACATCCTTTTAAGATAAATGTTAAGCTCACCCCAAATGATAAATGTCCAGTAGATGGATAGCCCATGCCAGGCTGTGGCATGGAAGGAGGGGCCCCATAAGGACCAGCAGCATGTGGTGGTGCAGGCATCCCAGCATTAGGAGAGGGCATTGGCATACCTATTGTTTTATTAATTTATTACAAATTTAAAAAAATAAGACATTCAACTGCACCATGAAGTCAGAAAAATTTTGTAACTCAATAATTCCATAAAGCATGCATCCGGTCATTTAAACATCTATACATTACAGTTATAAATTAAAGCACATGATCTCAGTCACCAGTATGGCAGTTCATTTGCTGCCAAGTTGCATTACTTAAGCTGGGAGCTTACAAGCAAAGGTGTTTTGAGCAATGCAAGACAGTCAGAAGTCCTCTAGGAATTATTTTGAATAAATTTTTTAACAAAACAATAAATCATTGGATACAGCTTTCATATGATCTGAAGAATTACACCGATCTAGGAGGGTGTCATCCACTTCCTCGACCTCCACAAAATTCTCTAAATCATACTCAGCCTTTTTCAATTATTGTTAATTACAGTGTACCTACTAGACAGTATACTATTGAAATACATTTCAACTTACCTGATGGCATAGGGGGAGGCATTGCTGTTGGCATTTGACCTGGCATTCCAGGATACATAGAAGAGCCCTCAGGGGTGGGCATGGGCATAGCTGGACCAGGTGGGTACTGTGGTGGGCAAAATGCATGGACTGTTCAGTCACTTAAGGTCTTAACAAATGATTTTACTACGCAAAAACAAACAAGTAATTCATAATACTTTGGCTTGTTTAAGAGGTATTAAGAGAGCCAAAGACCAATGTATTAATAACAACACCAATTTTAATAAAGGTGCTGCAAGCCTACCAACATTGAATGTTGCCATGTTTGAGGCCCACCCCCCTAGACACTCAGGCCCTTTGGACCTTTGGTTACATGTTCGTTGGCTGTGTTTTAGGATGCTACAGCTAAAATATTTCATGTTCAAAACTTAATGGCAGTCCTGGTAAAGGACATAGAAAGACCTTTCCTATCTGAATTTTCAGTCACAGCCGAAAGAGAGATGACTTAATAGCCAGGCAAATTAAAACTATTACACTTACCCCAGGAGTGGCACCTACATATGAAGGTTGGCTGGCGTAGCTGTCAAATCCTAGTGGTGGTCCTCCAGGGGCTGGATACTGGGATCCTCCCCCTGGTACAGGAGGAGGCCCATACATGGGAAAGCCCCCAGATGGTGGTGGATAACTCATTTCAGTAGCTCCTTTAAGAAAGAAAACAAGAAAGTAAGAGTAGATGAAGCCACAATAAAATCAATTTCAATGTCTACTTTGTGATCACACACACACACACAGCACAATTTCACGTTTTCACATAAGCTAGAAGGCCTTGGTATCGATCAGAGATCTCCTAGTGGAAATCTGAAACAAAGGGAATTGAGAGAAGAATACTTTAATCCTTTCTTTTTCAGTATAGAGCTCTGAGGGGTATGTAAGTGTTTTCTCCTGGCTTGCACATTGCATATAAAATAACTAAGATAGTACGTGCATTCTGATTGATTAAGAACCTATGGTGTCTTGTGGCGGTAAACTCATAGTTCAGACTTAAAGTTATTTTATAAAAGCAATAGACCACACTTTCTATGGGTTTACCGGCGTGATAACCCACTTGGGATGTTGTGAGAACACTCGAAAAGATTGTAAATTACTCGCATTCAGCTCATAATTTACACTTGCTTTTCTCGTGCTCTCCCAACATCCCGCATGGGTTATCACAACGGCAAACCCACCGTTCTGGCTCTTCATATGTTTACTACATGAAAGTTACATTCCAATAAATTAGTTAATTGATGATGTGTTGTTCTGGCGAAATTCTGGCATGTTTTTCTGGATCAAAATGGCTGTCACACAGTAGACTGAGGAGGAAAAGTGTATAAAAGGGATAATAGTGTATCCACTTAATTATCCAGCTCTTTTGACGGGAATACAGCTTCAAAGTGGCAAGGTATTCTGTAGTTACTCCTTCGTTTATTTCCAAATGTTCCAGATATAAACTTAAGGAAAAACAAAAGAAAATATATTTAAATTTTTTCCCAAAGTCAAGAGAAAGGATGTTCTTAGATAATTTTGCTTCCAACTGAGTTTGGAAAAAGCCTGACTTACCACCTTTTTGAAATAAAGTGTTGACAGGCCAAACACTACTCATAAGCTTTGCTGCAGTCTTAATTTTATTTCCTGTGGTTTATCTTACTGCAGATGTTTCAGTTAGCCAGAAAGATGACAATTTTCATGCAAATATTGGATCGCGTTTTGATTGGTCCTTTTGACACCACGGCCTTCAGTCAATAATAATTATTGAGAGCCTGAACAATGGACTGGTAGCAGGCGTTTTTTTTCTCGTCCTCTTAATTGCCTCGCGCTTCACATGCACTCATCTCACACTTCATGCAAAATGCTGCATTCACCTCGCTTGGCTCGTAAAATGCCTGTAATGCAGGCTAACATAAGATAGACAAAATTCAAATCCAAACAGCTGTTTTCTGGGGATGGCCAACAGTCTTGTGATCATGTCCGGTCAGTAGTAAGTAGCTAACCAAGTCTGAGTTTAAATAGCAAAGGTTCACTCTAAAGTCAATATCATCAAAATTATAATCTCCCCAGCTGTCCAGATTTTAGATTTATAACAGGTACATGTGATCACAAAAGAAAGAAGATGTCCTACATTGTGTTGTGTACCGTTTTCAGTACAGAGTGAAATATTTGTAATATATGTGTAAGGTCAATTATTGTATCTCTGTCCGTGAATTATCTATTTCACTGATACCATTTCAATGAATTTCAATAGATCTTTTGTTACCTTCAGGGAGACTACTTGTAAAAGCCCGTAAGGGTTTCTTTAGTCTTCCTCCCAAATTTATTACATTGTAACACACCGTAACTCTGCGAGTAGGAGAATGAGGCGATCTCATAGTCGTACACACCAGAAACGTAAATCTTCAATCCAGGTCCATGTTTTATTAGGTTGGGAAGCGTTTTCACGAAACCCCAAACCCCGCGAGGACCCGAAATCATTTGGAAGGAAGTGTACTGGTAGGTGGTGCAAAACACGAGATTTTCCTCGCAGAATCATCTGTTCCAAAGTACATAATTTTTTTGGCGCTTTTCTCTCGCCTGTTTGACTGAATCGCACTCATTTGGGTATGGTTCGAAAAATCTCTTCTTCCCGCACAAGTCGAGTTTCAACGATGTTTAACAATGATGACGTCACAAGCGGTATAAGGGACGCGGTCCGCTCGGGCGGTTGAGGTTGATTGAGGTGTGCATAAGTTAATTATTTTCAAACGTGTTTTAGTGTGAATCAGCCATGTGACCATATAAGCAAGTCCCAGGGTTGAAGGAGGTTGGGGAAAAGAGGGGCATAAGAGTCCATAAAGAGACTTTAGAGGACATTTTTGCGTTTTATACCTAATCCCTTCATAGCTTTCCTTAACACTTCAGCGTCCTTCTGCGCATCAAAAGTTGTTTCGCGAACTTTGACAGATGCTCGCTTGGTTGAAGACTGAAAAAGAAAAAAATTTAGTTAGGTTATCTGGAAACGCCGATCGCACAAACATTAGACAAAATTGTGAAACATAAACCTTTCTATACATAGAGACACACACAATGGCACAGGTTTTGATTTCGGTTTTGGGCCATGCTTTAAATAACAACTCTCTAACTAGCCATGAGTTAACATGTTTTGGACTCGTTAAATCAAGATGATAGATTGATAGATTGATCGGTTTTCTGCCGGATTCTAATCATTAGAAGGATTCCGGTTTCTATTCATTAGCAGAGTTCTGGATTCCTTGAGCTGCATTGAATTACAGATTCCAAAGCTTAGGAATCCGGATTCCACAAGCATAAATTTTTTCAGAATCTGGATTCTACAAGCACAGTTTTCTCCAATTCCAGACTCTAGATCACCTTACATGAGGCGATTCTGATACAACTTAATTGCCATTAACTAATTAAATGATCATTAAATTTGTACCTGATGGCTTGATCCAGACTTGGTGGTGGATGTAGAGTGTGACGAGTACGATGATGATGATGACATGTATGAGGATGAGGTTGAGTAAGATGATGCTGCTGCAGGGGGTGGAGGATGGGAAGATGGCATGCCAGCAGAGCGGGGAGCACTCGGAGGTGGAGCCTACAAAGGACGTGACAGAACGTCTTAAGTCAGTAGTACATAACTGTACTATTTCCTGCAGCATAAAACACTTACAAGTCATTCCTTTCTGACCAAGATATGGCTTCTGCTATTTCATTGTAGACATCTAAGCTCTTTTAGATAATTTAAGACAGTTCCAATTTGTTTGTTTGTCTATCTTACATCACTGAGCTCAGGTCCTGAGGCCCTGAAGAGGTTTAAGGTTCATGGAGGAAAATAAGTAAAAGTAACTGTCATGTCTTCACATTTTCCACAAAACCTGAAAATTAGCAGAGAATGACAAAGAAAATAGTGTACCAGTATGCATAATGCACCTGCAAAACCATTAAACTGTTTTGTTTAATACAATAATGATTTTGTCAGGCCACTATCTTTGCTGTTCCATTGTCAATTTATTTGTTGGGTTCAGGAGAGATGCATCTTAGGTGAGAATTCTTCTGCAGTACAACTGAAACTGATTGAAAGTATGTAGCATGCAAGCAATCTTAAGCTTTCTTACTTTAAGCGGATCCTGGGAAGGAAAGACCATTAATTGAACAAAGAAAGAAAATGGCACAGACTGAAGATTTGATCAAAGTGAGAAACAAATAGCTAACCATGGATAAGTTAGGCTGAGGTTGAGGTGGACCAACTTGACTCCTGTAGTGGCTTGGAAATGAAGCAGTGGCCATTGCTGCACCCTAAAACATTTCAGATAAACTGAGCTATTTTAAATTAAGTGCACATCTTAACCAAAATATGTAAGGTGGGTATGTTACAGGTCAAAATTATTAATTCAGGTTCAAACCGTTTAACCCAAATTGATTCTCAATTTAACCTTTGTCTCCTAGCACTAATTATTCATGAATTTAAAGGGCTAGAAGCCAAAGGAAATGACAACCTAGGTTAAAAAATTTTAACAACAACAACAACAACAAGTTTATTTCAACAACAAGTTTATTTCACATTAAATATAGCTTACAAAGCTTGTGCCTGCAATTAGCAATTAACATGATTTTAATATTATTTTGCCCTGTAACGTCATGTCTGCTGTACAGGGAAAGGGTTAAAGCAGAATTCCATTTGTCTCCTATGATTAATTAAGGCTAGAAAATAAAGGGAATTTTAAATCAAACTAGGTTGAATACTGGTTTAATATAACAATGGATTTTACATGATTGTTGGATGAGGTTTCCACTGTGATATCCAAAAAGTCAAGACCAAGGTATTTTAATAAAAACAGTGTTATCAGCCAGGCTAAAGGCTGAGGCTGATAACACTTATCCGGTACTGAGAACTTGATTATTCCTGGTATCAACAAAAAAACATATCTAACAACATTGTTTTATTTATTATATAGTTTGTTTTAAAGACAATGACAACAAACAAACCATCGCATGGAACACAGATTGATTGCTCTTGGAAATTATGCATTGCACACCCAACCTACAGTCACTTCTGCCAGCAGACGACTAACTAATCTGTAGGTTGCCCAGATTTCCAAAATTAACCATAGGTTCTTATAGCCGATGAGAGGACAAATAGTGAGTACAATGTAAAATAATACTTAGAACATGTACACCCTGTTCAGTCAGGGTCAACATTTATATGAATTTTATACTCTTGTTATAAACTGGTCTAATGTTGGGTGAGTAAGGTATAAAATAGTCATTTGGTCCTGCATTCTATGCATGAATACTGGTAAAATTTGAAGTTACCTTGTAATTGAAATAATTACCTAATTCTTGACAGTATTCATTTTTGTAGCCATGTAGCAAACACTAATCATAATACTTACTATGGTCTATATAGCTTAAACATAGAAGTGAAAAAAAATGTTGTCTCACTTTTACCAATGAACAATTTGTACAGGAATCATTGCTTCTCTATCTTTCACCAAAGTTGTATATTTGCTCTACACGCTATGTCCTTTTAAGATAAATGTTAAGCTCACCCCAAATGATAAATGTCCAGTAGATGGATAGCCCATGCCAGGCTGTGGCATGGAAGGAGGGGCCCGATAAGGACCAGCAGCATGTGGTGGTGCAGGCATCCCAGC